ATCGTTTGTAAATGTAAATGCAAATGTAATGTCAAACACAGGGAGTGCTTGCGCGATCACCCGAGCCAGAGGCTCATGATAAAGTGCAAAATCGAATAGGAATTTGGAAATGTTGGTTTTTGAGGAGAGCGGAAAACTGAAGTACCCGGAGAAAAACCTCTCGGGCAAGGAAGAGAACCAACACCAAACTCAAGCCACATATGACGCCGGGTCTGGGAATCGAACCCGGGACACATTGGTGGGAGGCGATTGCTCTCACCACTGCGCTAACCCTCCTCCTCGTTTGCCAATATAAGCGAATATATTCTTTAGTCTGAACTTGGCTGAGCCACACGGCTTAATAGCCCTTGTTTGTGTGGTCGGTTTGATAAGTAGGTCAGCAAATTCTGCCTTTCAGTCAGTTTTGGACCTGCACTCCACAAACTCCTTCAAAACAATGCCCGCTTTGTGCCGATCCACTGAGTGAAACTCATACAAGGTGAAGACGTGAGAATTGAAATATCTAGTCAATAATCTGCAGTTATCTTTCAGACGAGGAGTACTGTCAAAAATAAAAATAATAATACCGTTTTTCAAGTAATAAATAGATTATAATTGAAATTCAGGAACAAAAATGTCTAAAAGTGTCGAGGCGCTCGACAGCAAGGTGCGAGTGGTGACAGAAATCTAATCTCTATTAGTTGGCTCCGACTTGTGACTTGCACAGAAATCCCCTGATTACTGCTTGGCTGCCAAATGCACGCGCACTTACTGTAGAAATTCCCGGGCGCTCATTGGCTACTTTTCATCGTCAATAAGCAGCTATTGAAATGAATTGACGAACTTATCAAAGAACCACCTAACAAGATAAAAATTCAATAAAATGCAAATACAGGTCTATATTGAATCAATACCTACACAAATATGTCAAATGGATAGATTATGTGAAAGATGATATTTATAATTAACTGTCGGTTATATTTTGCACCTAACCAAGGTGTGAAAACTGGGGTTATGACTCCAAACTTCATTTCATTCCGGGTTTACATTATCAGCTGTATTGATTTCTTATTGGCCTGGTTTTATAACTTCAAACAAATTTGTACCTTTTTCCTAGGTATCAGGACGATTAACACACAAGCTTTTTTCATGGTGGTGTCTTCTAATCGTTGACTGAGCGTACGCCTTGATCTGCTGTGTAGTACGTTTATCACGGTTGTCGCAGTGGCTGCCATTTTAGTTTCGGAAAATCCTGGTCAGTGAGTTTGGGGCGAACTCAGTTTGATCCTCCTGCTATGGCTGTCCTTCACAAAGAACGACATAAAAATAAAGTCATCCATCGGGAAAAATTTGAGGGGCACCTAACGAGCCAGATCTTCACAATGCATTGAAGAACAAAAACCCCAGGAAATAGACAACAAATTAACCCTTTTTAAATTACTTCAATTTTTCTGGGAACGTTTCAGCAGTTCCATATTTGCGAAAAAGGAAATCGTATTCAACGCGCTCAAGTCTTTCAAAACTTCTCAGCTAGCCCTAACAACAATTGCGACAAAACCGTCCGCTTAATTTCTTCAACCTCAATAGAGAGTGTTCATTTTGTTTTAAAATTCCACTAATAGTTTTTACTATATTTTTCTACTGCAGCCTTGGTCGGACTCGCCCTGACATACCCAATGCAAACACTGGACGTCACTCAACATCGTGTACGATCAGCATCAGAAGTGGAAAACTTGATGACGTCAGTCGAACGCGTAATGACGCATACAAATATCGATTCTGAGCCCGGCTACAGCAGTGATGACGGTCCCCCCGAGTCCTGGCCTAATGAAGGAGGCCTGACCACAAAAGATCTCTCTTTGACTTACTTTCAAGGCGGACCTCGTGACTTGAAGGGACATCAACGTTCATGTTTCTAAGTCTTAATGACCTCCAGATTTTTCAAAGAAGAAAAAATTCCCGTGCGTATTAGGTGTTAATTAATCGATTGTGTGGATATCCATCAATCTCCAAGACGCCCACAGATGCATAGCAGTTACAACTCAGGATCCGGTGCTATTTGGAGGTACCTTAAGAAGGAACATAGATCCATTCTCGAAGTATTCGGATCAATACCGTTGGACCGCTCTGGAGGAAGTGCAGTTAAAGACGCTTGTTGCAGAACTGCCAGGACAGCTCGAGTTCAAGCTGAAAGAGTGCGGAACAAACTTAAGCGTCGGTGAGAGGCAATTGGTGTGCTTGGCTCGTGCATTGGTCCAGAAGAGCAAGATCATCATCATGGATGAAGCCACCGCTAATGTGGAATTCAAGACTGACCGTCTGATCGAGAAAGTCATTCGTGACAAGTTTAAGGATTCCACAGTCATTACTATTGCTCATCGACTGAACACCATCCTGGATTATGACAAGATGCTGGTTCTCGACGACGGACGTGTGGTAGGCTCGATTACTAGCCGCTGTTCGGGAAAGGAGCCCGCGCTCCTCCCCCGAAGTCTCTTTTCGGGGATCGGAGGTACGTAGACCGGACACGAGAGGGCGGCGGAAATCGAGCCTAAACGTGTGGTGGAGTTTGACAAACCTGATGTGTTGATAAGAAAAGGTGGACTGTATGCTGAAATGGTCAGACGCCAGACACAAAGAGGGAAAGACTGAACCTAACAAGAATACATGCATGTAGTGACTAAAGGCGTAAATAAACACAAATGAAATAAAAAGTCAAAGATGCTGTAGGGGGTCAAAACTGGACAAATATTTGATCGGATGAAACTATGAAGGTAAACCGAGATTTTTCAGTGACGGTCAACATTAACCCGCGCAACACCGAAAAGGGTAAACTTAGTCAGCTTCGACGCTTATCCTCATAGCCAAGGTTAAAGCAACTTACCAAATTGAACAGACAGTTTCAGCTACTAGCAATAAATTGGTAAAACATTTTACAAAATGGACCAAATTTCTACCCTGCTTCAACTAACTGTTTAGTCTTTTTGTGATAGTGTATGTGGAGATGTTTAAAGCAGGAGCTGCCATGCCCTCTCATGATTGTTGATTGTGACAGTACTTCACTATCAAATCTCGCACGCCCCTTCCTCTTCAAGATCTGACTCGATCCCCTCAGACTACGATTCCACATTCTTCATTTGACTCACCCGCGGTGAACTTAATTCGCTTCTTGCATAGCTCCTCGTGAGCAATCTATCTTTGCGACCAGAGCAACGATTGATCTTCATTTCCTCTTCCCAAAAACACATTCAGCCAATTCGCTTTTAGGAATGGAACAAACTGATATTGCCGGCGCTCTTATCTTTCTCGCGTTCCATATACAAACAAACAAACGATCATTGACTAGGGATCGCTAGGGGCAGTCCACTCAAACAACTAAAGACTAACGAACAGATAGCAACACGACAAAACATTGTCACGCAATAAACGAGTTTCCGACCATGAGCACTGAACGTTATATGTAAAGCTGCTGTACCTTTCCTTGCGCATTTAACAAGCGTATGGAATCTCTGTAGTCGGTCAATTAAGTTTTTATCTGGAAGTTTCACAATTGGTTGTTTAGGCTTCTCGGGTTCGTAAGATGAATATTCCGCACGGAAGGAGAAAGCACATACACACAGTTCTCATCTGCAACGTTCCAGTCAGAGGGTTTTGTAACACAATTTAATTTTGTATTGGCCGATAGAAAGTATAGAACCCTTCATCCTTTTATAGAAGTTTGCGCTTTTGTCCGTACCAAAAAAGAAGAGAGACAGATGAAAGCCAAAATTTTCGAATTATATAGAGAATCAGTTAATTAGTGGAATGCGACTTCACTTCCTCATTTAGGGGGGCCAAATGATCTTTCAAAAACCGTAGGTGCCGTATACCTTTTACCCAATTTCGTGTATTTTTTAGCGCTTATCTTCTTCTCCCAGTCTCAATTTTAGCCTCTAAATCCCGATTCGATTGTTTGCGTTTATAAATCAAGTCCCTGAACGTCTCACGTTCTCATTCAGTAACTCTTTTAAGTCTCAGTGTCGCCAGTTAAAGAGTCAAAATGTCTCGCGGTCGCAAAGAAAAACTCCATTCTCACGTTCTTGCAAAGTCTTGCATTTACCATTTACCACCCCTGGTCTGATGCATTTAATCAAAGACTCAGTTGAATACTGAACAAATTATTAACACGATACTAGTTCATACTTCATGCAAGGCGTCTAAATGCCAGAACACTGTAGAACATCAAGAATCTAGAAAGTTCGTTTGAAAGTGATTTGATTCTTGAAAGCAGCAGAACAAAATGTATCTTAACACTCCGTTAATTTTTGAGATAATGCAATGCGTGATCGCGGAACACGCTTAGCTTATGCCTGCGGAATAATACTAACGCGCGAACTGAGGCACTTGCTTGGAATTTATTTACGTATTTCAAGTTCCGCCATAAGAGGCTATGCAATTACAACAAGAAGCTATTTCTCAGAAAGAAATAGTGTTTCATTTCCGGAAAGATATTCAAAGGCTGAGAAAGGCTGGGTTTTGATATCTTGTGCAAGAGAAGTTCTCTGGTGAGGGGGATATGTGCTAATGCGCCGCTTTGCACCGCAGTGATCGTACTCAGTTGCCAGAGCCTGGGGTTTTTTGTCCAGGTGAGGTTTAGTACTTAAGGCCCTATTGTAAAAGAGCAAGGGCTAATTAATTTAAGTTGTCTACATATGTATTAGTTATTACAGTCAACGCGCTTCAAAATGTATTTACTTGTGATACTTCACTTTGACTTTGCCCTAGGGGAGGGGGAGGGGTGCTCCCTTATATCGTCTATATAGGTATGTCCAGCGTCAGAGGGACTTGTTTTTTAAAGACATTTTAGTCAGAAGCAGAGTATCGATTTTGGTCATTTTGGTCTCAAACTGGATATGGTTTTTGCACTCTAGTCTTGAATTAGGTATGTTTTTTAGAAGAAGCTACTTTTTTCATCATTATCGATAAGAGCAGCAACTAAAGCTATTCACAATACCTTTAACATCATTCTGAACTAGAGAACTACGGCAAGTCTGAAACAGGGTATTAATTCAATTAAAGGGTCAGGCCATAAATAGGTTAGAAAAATCGCTGGCTTTGGTCTTGCTTTGGGAAGCGGGCCGCACAGCACCCTCAAATTTTTCAGAAATCCAAAGTATTGTGTTTGAGGCTAAATAAAGCTGAGACAAAAGCGTTTGACGCATAATATTTCCATTTCTGTGCCGGGCAGTCCTTGACTCGAATGGATGCGGCACTCTACGTTTCGTTGTCAGTGACGGACTATATTTTTCTTTTCAAAAAGGACGCCTCATGTGTGGCGACAGTTGTGCAAGTATTCCTCCACTTTTGCTTGAATATCATGAGGCTAAAATACAAATGCTATCGGTGTTTTCATGGACACCAGCTCTTGAAATG